ACATATAAGAAATCCTTACCAAAACGATTGGCATAACTTGAGTATGTACACGATTAAAAAAACTCCATCCACAACTGGGGGGGTTAAATAGGAGTCACCATTAGTCTTGCTGACCTGCTTTACAGCATTGACACAGAGTTGCGTGAAATGTAATCACAAGCAACTAGCCTAGTTTCGTCATGGGAAACACAGGTTTCAGCATTGTCCATGTCTACTTACAGTATGGCGAGTGCTGCAAGCAACATTCAGCAATTCGAAAAAGACCGGTAATCGATCGCAAACAAACATTGCGTAGAGTTGCACTACTATTTATCACGTAATCCAATTTCAATTCCTTTCAGTCACGCTAGGGTGCCGACTCTGTGATGAGCTTCTTTTTGACTGCTGCGAAAAAGTTGATTCTGTAAAAAATGGCTACTTAAATAGGATGCATTTTTATCATTGATGTTGGCTGCCTTTATAAATTAAAATATATTTTATGGAAAGCATGCACGAAAGAACCTCTCTTATGCTTATTTGATAGAAAATTACGCCTTCTTTAAATTTTTTTCTTAAAGGAAGTGTTTCCTTCGGTTTTAAAAGAGTTTCTAAATTGCCGAAAGATTTTGAAACCTACCGACTGCTAGAACTTGATTCAGGTTTTACTAACTGAACGCTGTGTTCATCCTGTTTAAGGAAAGTACGTTCTTGCCTACGGTTTGAGGAAGTGGTTGCATAACTCTCCAAGAATTTCGCAATAGACATGGATCATGCTGTATATATCAGGGGCAGCATTAACAGATTGACGCATACGATGTATTATTAATGAACACCGCACAGTCGTAAAAAGGCTCAAAATTAGAAATTTTTTAAAACCGAAAGAAACCCTTCCTTCAAGAATAAATTTAAAGAAGGCGTAGTTTGCTATCAAATACGTACAAAAGAGGATTTTTTCGTGCATGCCTTCCATACGATTTGAATTTATAAAGGCAGTCAAAATCAATGATAAAAATGCATACTGTTTATGTAGCCATTTTTTGCAGAATCAACTTTTCGCAGTAGTGAAAAAGAAGCTCATCACCAGAGTCGGCATCCAAGCGTGACTGAAAATAATTGAAATTGGGCTGCATGATAAACAGTATTGCAACTCTACGCAATTTTTGTTTGTGATTGCTTACCAGTCTTTTTCGAATTACGGAATGTTGCTTGCAGCACTCACATACTGTAGGTTCACCAGTTTATGCCTTTTGAAATGCCAAAAATGAACGGCCGTCTTTTGAGTGGCTTTAGTCAAAAGAAAGCGTATAGGCGCCCAGGCTATTGAAGACGAGGAAGGAAAAACCATAAGTTTGCAACTGGACATCAAAAATCCAATATACCCTTAGCAGCAGCATAGATTTAAACTGAGAGCTATGAAATTACTTTAATTTAAGTTGTTTAATGTTCCTTCTGCATGCACTTTCCAAACACGTTAAATTATAGTAAGATAATTTGTTTCGAACAAACGGAGGTAGATCCATTGTCCTCTCAGCCTGAACACCGTATGAAAAAGTTTCCTTTCTTAGAACTAAAACTGCTACTTAGGCCAATGTTGTTAGAACTATAGAATTAGTCGGACGTCTTCTAAGGACATACAGGCAAAGCGCTTGGTTTCTTTTCGTCATACTGTTAAAAAATCATTCCAGATGTGCACTTTGTGTGTAAATTCGCTGAAATTCGAGCAAAGTAAAGTATATTAGCCAGAGTAGAGGAGTGGTCCCGATCAGGTTACGATATACGCTAGTCCCATTGTGCCTTGGGACCCGATCTATAATATTTGTAGGCAGTCACATAGCCACAAATGGTATATACAAACTATGAATTACCGCCAAAGATAACCTCATTTTTGGCTTATTAGCCGTCGTCAGCTAGTCATACTTAATTTCTGGTTTTGCGAGACTTGAGCTTCGAACCCAGGTTCTTTGTTTATTTAGCGCTGAAATTGTGGGAATCTGCGCGCCCAGCGCTACAGCTCCAAGTCACCCTGCCCTCGTCTGCCATGAATTGCACTCACGCGTAACAACCTATCTCGCATCGGCCTTCCTAACGCTATCGATTTACTGGCCACTTCAAACGCGCGTACGCTCGAGATCAATCGATACGCCCCGCTTCACCTGATTGGCTGTGCATACGAGAGAGCACAAGTCGCGCAGACAAAGCTTCACGATAACGACACGCTTTCACGGACACACCTGGCATGCGGACACAGCTGGGAGCTGGCTCGTGACACAGCCCTTGTATAGTGCATTTTCTCGCAGTAAAAGCTGTTCCAGTCTACTCTGTCCTCCCTGACTTTTAACTTGGGAAACCTTTATCTTGTCGACACAACCACTTACGAAAATTGGTGACCCCGACGTGATATGGACATGCAATCTTATGATCTGGAGGAGTTTGCGCGCCTAGCAAGTCACCGGAGGGGGCACTGTTCTGCAACAAAAACTAGTTTTCGAGGGGTTTCTTTGGAATCGGGTTATTTTTCTCAGTTTACGTTTATTTGGAGCCTAAATAAATTATCTGACTGTTTATAAGCAGAACGTTTCCTTAGGGAACCGGCAACAATTCCAGTTACGGTTGAGAAATTATGACTATTGTCTTTTGATTTGTTCCCTCCCCCCTCCCCCGCCGCATAAGTCTTTCGAGTTCGGCCCCATCTGCGATAATTCTGTCATTTTCCTCAAGCGACCTCTTTGGTCCTTTTCTATAAATCCTCCAGCGAAGAACAGAGGAGGATCCTATTTGAGTGTCTGACCTTTACCAATAAAACCAAACTTCTCAATGAAACAACAGAGGTGAAGGCGGCACAACTGAAACGCTCATGGGCAGAGTTCACAGACGTGCTCTTGGAGAGACAGGCTGTTCTGGATCGAATTAATGTATGTGAGGCAAACTTTTTTCATTGAACCCTCACTTTTACAGAACTGACGCAAATAATTTTGGTTCCGTTGAGTCCTTCAACTCTCTTGACGTTTCTATTTTCTTGAAAAATGCAAATTGTTGTACTCATTTCAAGGCACATAAGATATCACTCCCTACAGACAAAATGGATTCGTTTGATGATACGGCTTGGTTATAAATAGTCCCCATATTACAGGGGGGGTTGTGTGAAATTCTAGGTAGGTTGAGGGAAGGGTGTAGCGGCTCACCAGAGTTAGTGCCTACAAAACGAATAAAATCTGTTAAAAACGGTATAACGCAAAACCTAGAGAGTAGCAACTAAACTACTACTTAAATTCTTTACGTCTCGCCAATTCTGTATGAACCGGAGGTCTGTACGAAACACATTTCGGTACCACATTGTTGTCGAGGCACCTGTGCAGGAATCGAATCTGCGCATAAATAGCAACTCTCGAAGGGCAAATATTTCCCAACATCGTGCCGATCGGAGCGCCTGGTGCCCAAGGAGATTGCCAATAGAATTGAATATGCGAGTTGCAGGAAGCAGTTCAGAAGAAGAAGCGATCACTGGAACAAGAGGTTTATTAACCTGACGTTTCGGATTCCGTCGGGAATCCGTAATCATAAGTAATGGTAGAACAGTCTGAGACATGCGCAGATAAACTACTACTAATTATCGCGAGAGGCAAACCTGGATAAAGATGCAAAAAGGATAATAAAGGAATGTGTGGTACAGACTCGCAAAAATACCGTTAGTCTTCTTCAGCGGTAGCTAGAGAAACGGCTTGCGTTGAAGCAATATTTGGCTAAATTCACTGGCCACCCTCGCTCGTCCAAGAACACGAAGATCTATAAATGGACTGATAAAGTGCTTAAAACGGAAGATCGCTTTTACCGCCTGTTCACCTCAAGCCCACTCTCACATCAGTCAGCAGTCACGCCTAGGAAGTCGCTTTGCACCAAGTTCGAACGCTAGCAAAGGTTAGTGGAACTCTATTTATCCAAACAAAAATATGCATGCATGTATATAAGCAGATTCAGGTATCAGGGATACAAACCTAAACATGGAAAAAAAGTACAAGGGACCTGCAAGGGTTAGGTTCAGGGTCAGGGTTAGCAGGGTTATCGTTGGGATTACAGGAAGGGTTAAAGCTAGGGCAAACGAATGAGTACCTTTGGAATTTAAGGCAAGCCCATCGCAGGGGGTTTAGTAAGTTAAACCCTAGCATCTGCGACCTTCAGACCATAGTTACTTAGTAGAGAGGAGAAGTCAGTGGAGGCCAGAATAGTAGGAATAGTTTATTGTGTACACAAAGGAACGGG